TGTGTTCCCACCAGCAGTATGAGTTTTAGCTGTTCCACATCCCCACACTTGATATAGTCAATCTTTTGAATTTTAACTGTTCTGGTAGGTGCATAATGGTATTTTAAAAAATAATGGACAGTTCCAACCCACCAATGACTCTGCAGGAGAAAAGGCCTGGCAATCTGCTCCCATAAAGATTACAGCCTAGAAAACCCTATCAAGCAACTGTACTCTGTCCCGTAGGGTTGCTATGAGTCGGAATCAACTCGACAGCACACAACAACAACGGTGAATAATGATGTTGAGCATCTTTTCATGTGCTTATTTGCCGTCTTGATATATTCTTTGGTGAAGTGTCTGTAAAAATATTTGCTCATTAAAAAAATTGATGGACTTTATTTTTTAGAACAATTTTAGATTTACAGAAAAATTATGAAGCTAGCACAGTGTTCCCATAAATTCTGCACTTGGTTTCCCCTATGATTAATATCTGCATTAGTATTTTTTATATGTTTTTATTAAATAAAGACCATACTTTACTCAGATTTCCTTAGTTTTTTAACTTATTTTGTTCATTTTTAAAATTAGGTTGTCTGTCTTATTAGTAGAAATGAGTTGTAACACATCCTAGCTACAAGTCTTTTGTCAGATATATGTTTTGGAATTGTTTTATCCCAGTCTGTAGCTGCCTTTTATTTTTGTAACACTGTCTTTTGAAGTGCAAACAAAATTCTGATGAAGTCCCATTTATTGATATTTTTCCTTTTATAATTTGTGCTTTTTGTGTCCTATTTAAAAATTCTTTGCCAACCCTAATGTGACCAAGATGTTTTCTTATAGAAGTTGCCTAGCTTTAGCTGTTAATGTTTAGCTAAGTTTTTGTGTATGATGTAAGGGTCTAGGTTCATATTTTTGCATGTGTTCCAGCATTTGTTTAAAGGATTACTTTTCACATTTGAATTATACTGACCTCTGATATGGATGATCATGTTGTCTGTGAATACAAAGTTTTACTTCTTCCTTTTCCATCTGAGGGCCTACTATTTCTTTTTGTTACCTTATTGCACTGGCTGGAACCTTCAGTACAATGATGAATGCATGTACTGAGAAGAGTGGACAGACATCCTTGCCTTTTTCCCAACTGTAGGGGAAAAGACTTCAATCTTTTGTCATTAAATGTGATGTTAGCTGTAGGTATTTCATAGATGTCCATTATCCCCTTGAGGAAACTCTCTTTTGTTCCTTGTTTGCTGAGCGATTTTATCAGGAATAGATGTCGGATTTTGTCAAATGCTATTGAGATAATTTTTTTTTTTTTTAGCCTGTTAACATGAATTACATTAATTGATTTTCAAATGCTAAGCCCCACTTAGTGATGGTGTATCATTATCCTTTTTATATATTCTGGATTAGGTTGCCTAATGTATTATGACTTTTTGCATCTGTGTTCACATGACAGTTTTAGTCTGTAGTTTTCTTGTAGAATTTTGGTGTCAGGGTAGTGCTCCCTTTAAAATGAGCTGGTAACTGTTCCCTCCTCACAACTTTCTGGGAAAAGGTTTTGTCGGGTTGATGTTATTTCTTCCTTAAACGTTTGATAGGATTCACAACTGAGCCTGAAGTTTCCTTGTGGAAAGATATTAAACTTCAGTTTTGTTAACAGATACAGAGGTATTCAGGTTATCTGTATCTTCTTGTGTGATTTGTTTGTTTGTGACTTTCAAGGAATCTGTCCATTTCATCTGTCAATTTACTGGCATAAAGTTTTTAATACTATTCCCTTATTGTCCTTTGAATATCTGTAGGGTCTATAGTAATGTTCCTTTTCATTCTTGATACTCGTAATTTGTGTTGTCTTTTCCTGATCAGTCTTGCTAGAGGCTTACCAATTTATTGATCTTCCTGAAGCACCAGCTTTTGGTTTTGATTTTCTCTATTGCTTCACTTTCATTAATTTCTGCTCTTCATTTTTTCTTTTCCTCTCTTCAGTTTCAATTTGCTCCTCTTTCTTCTAGTTTCTTAAAGTAGAAGCTTAGATTATTGATCTCAGACCTTTCTTCTTTGCTAATATAGGCATTTAACACCATAAATTTTCCTCTATGCATTGCTTTAGCTACATCTCACAAAGTTTATTATGTTATATTTTCATTTTCATTCCATTCAAAATAATTTGCCTTTGATTTCTCCTTTGACCATGAGTTATTCAGAAGTTTGTCATTTTCCCTCCAGATATTTGAGAATTTTTCCAAATAACTTTCTTATTGGAGAAAATACCACTGTGGTATTTTCTAATTTAATACCATTTTCTAATGGTTTCTAATCTAATACCATTGTGGTCAGAGAATGCATTTGGTATTATTTGAATCATTGTACATTTATGGAGACTTGCTTTATGGCCAGAATATGGTTTAAATTGGTAATGTTTCATGTGCCCTTGAAAGGAATGTATATTCTGCAATCATTGGGTAGAATGTTCTATGTTAAGTCAAGATGCTTGATAGTGTAGTTCAAGTCTTCTCTATCTTTACATACTTTTTAGGTCAATGATTAAGAAAGAAGACTGGTCTCTAATTAAAATTGTGGATTTGTCTATTTCTCCTTTCAGTTATATCAGTTTTTGTGTCATGTATTTTGAAGCTCAGCTATTAAGTATATTAACATTGAGGAATGTTATTTTCTTTTGATGAAATGACGCCTTTATTAGGATGACATAACTCTCTTTATTCCTGGTAATAATCTTTTTCTGATATGTACAGTTGTCTGATATTAAACAACTGTAGCTTTTTAAAAAATTAGTGTTAGCATTGGCATCTTTTTCCATTTTTTTATTTTTAACCCTTTGTGTCTTTGTATTTAAAGTGAGTTTCTTGTAGGCAACATATAATTGAGTTTTGCTTTTTGTCCAATCTGACAATCTCTGGCTTTTTAACTTGGGTGTTTAGGTCATTTATGTTTAATGTGGTTATTAATATGGTTGGGTTTAAGTCTGTTATCTTGCTATATGTCTTTTATTTGTCCCATCTGTTCTTTCTTCCCCCATTCTTCTTTTTCTGCCTTGTTTTGAATTGAGTATTTTATGATTCCATTTCATGTTCTTTATTGGCTCATTATCTGTACCTCTTTTTGTGTGTACAACTTTTAGCATTTATCATATGCATCTCTAACTTATTACAGTCTACCTTCAAGAAATATTATAGCATTTCACAACTAGATGGTACCCAGCTACAACCACCAGCTGCTCTGACAAGGATCACAGTAGAGGGTCCTGGACAGAGATGGAGAAAAATGCAGAACAAAATTCTAACTCACACACAAAAAAAAAGACTAGACTTACTGGTCTGACAGAGACTGGAGAAAGCCTGAGAGTATGGCCCCCAGACATCCTTATAGCTCAGTAATTAAGTCACTCTGAGGTTCACCCTTCAGCCAAAGATTTGACAGGCCGCTAAAACAAAAAAAGACTAAATGAACATACTAGCCCAGGGGCAAAGATGAGAAGGCAGGAGGGGACAAGAGGAAAGTGGTAATGGGGAACCCAAGGTCGAGAAGGGGAGAGTGTTGACATGTCATGGGGTTGGCCACCAATGTCAGAAAACAATGTATATTGTTTAATGAGAAACTAGTTTGCTCTGTAAACCTTCATCTAAAGTACAGTAAAAAAGGACAGCATTTTAAGAATAATGTAATAACCTTGTAACAGCATACTTCCATTTCCCCTTTCCCAGCATTTTTGCTATTGTCATACATTTTACTTTACACATAACAAACTCCACACTACATTACTGTTTTTGCTTTAAAGAGTCAATTTTCTTTTAAAGAGTTTTTTTATAAATCATACTGTTTTTCTTTCTGTATGTAAATTCAGATTTCCTGCTGATATACTGTATTTTTACGCAAATAATGCGCACCTTTTACCTTTGCTTGGGTTTCTACATTTGTTTGCCAACCACATCCTTCTCCGTGTGGTATTTTCATAAGCGTCACTATGGTAATTTTTTTTACATATTGCTGTAAGAAATTAGCATAGTGTGCTGACGAAAATATCTTGTGGGGGAAGGGCACGGTTGGCAAACAAATGTAGAAGGCATGCATCATTTGCGTAAGAGTACAGTAATTTTCTGTCTGCCTGAAAGACGACTTCCTTTAATATTTCCTGAAGACAGATCTTCCTGTACTTAATCATTTCTATTGACCTGTGTTAAAGTTCACTGATTCTTTTTCTGTAATGTCCAAATTGCTGCAAAGCTCATCCAGTTAATTTTTACCAACATTATAAACTGTCGCCTTGCCCTGGCAGTGGCTGAAACTGCTGCTCAGCTCTTTACACTGCAGCTGTTGCCTTTCCTGGTTCCTTGGAGTCGCGCCCTGCATATGCAATTAGGTGTCTGCCAAAGAGTTGAGGGACACATGTATGCAGATTTTGAGGGCTCCCCACTCTGGGGCTCCCTTCTTTCCAAGATTTCCTACCTGGAAATTTCTGACCACTCTGACAGCCTTGCCCTCCGACTCCTCATCTCAATAAAACTGCTCCTTTTTGCTTTTGCTATCTATCCCCTGTGAGCCCATGAACTGGGAAGTGCTCTCAGGGGAGAAGCCAGTTGAATGTGGATCTCAACCAGTGTGCTTCCCTTCTGTCAAGAATCACAGCCCCTTTAGTTTCTGCTTCTATTCATTATTTATTTGTGCTTTCAAATAGGTTTTTCAAGTTTTGTCCAGAGTTTACATTTGTACTGTCAGGAGAGTTGGTTCAATACAAGCTACTCTCCCATTGCTGGAACTAGAACAGAGTTAACTTATTTTTTAAACTTGTTTTTAAAATGGGAGAGACCTGAGCATAATTAAAACCTATCAAAGAGCTAATAATTTATTAATGCAAAGAAATTTTTGTCTACAAAAAATTTATTTTTGAGTTTTTAAAATAGTACCTTACTACTGATGTGATGATAGTTTTTATAATTTTTCCATTAAAAGACTGCATATTAAAGAAAGAAAATATGGAACATTTTTCCTTTTTGTAGGATATAGCAAATGAAGAACAGAAAAAAATTGAAGCCTTAAAATCAGAAAACAAGAAACTAGAAAAACAAAAAGGAGAATTAATGATAGGGTTCAAGAAACAATTGAAATTAATTGACGTTTTAAAAAGGCAGAAGGTGAGTATATCCTAACAAAAAAGAAAAAAAAGTTAAATCAGAGATATTATTTGGACTGTTTTACTAAAATATTTAGTATTTTTACTTTAAGTGTTTACATTTTATTTTGACATCTTTAAGCACAAAATTTTTCAATATAAAATACATTATACATGTAAAATATAACAAGATTTGTATATAATGTGCCATCAAGCAAATACTTACTTTCATGCAAGTAAATTTTTAATATGGCAAATGAGACTGGAAATGTAATATGGGTCCTCTCCAATTAAAGAAAGTACCATATACAAGAATGACTATTGCCTTAGGGATTGTTTGCCTCTTGAAACCTTGAAGACATTCCAAACCACTATCGTTCACATCTGTATACAGGGACACGGGGTGTTGACAAGACACGAATTCATGGGTCTGCCACTTCCTGTACACTTTTTGTACAGGCCAGGTGTTATGCTATTACTCAATTATTCTTTTAACAGTAGGTGGTTCAATGCCGTTGTTGGATACATGAGCTTTTACAGGCTGGCCCATAAATGTAACTACCATTCCAGATATCTTGTTTATTAGAATTAAAGAGCACGTTTCTACAACATTACTTATAATTTGAATAGCATATTGTATATACACACACATATTTCCTGTTTTGTGGTCTACTCTCAATACTAAATGAGACAACATTTTTTTAACAGATGCATATTGAAGCCGCCAAGATGCTGTCTTTCACAGAAGAGGAATTTCTGAAGGCACTAGAATGGGGAAATCCATGAATGATCTACTTCAGTTAGTCCCTAAAAGATAACGGATAGTGGATGGTGGACAGCCATGTTATTTAACTTGTACAAACTGTAGTGGCTCGAATTATTTTTCTCTTTATAAATCATGACAATTTTTGATAAGAAAACTAAGTAATTTCAGAGATTTCCTTGTTTAGATTTGGGGCATACAAAACTAATTTATAATTATCTGAAAAAGGAAAGGTTTTGTAAAATAAAGCAACAAGAATTTAACTTTTTCATTCTTTTTCTTATGACCTACTAGCCCTTTTTATTTTACGTTTTCACAACTGCACTTGACTGTATAGAATACGTTATGGAGAGTCAGCTCTCGTTCATAAATGATAGTTTATCTGAGAGAAATTCTGTTTTAAGTTCTTGTTGACAATTCAGTGCATTAGATAATAAAGTGCTTTGAAATTCTTCACTGTATTTACTTTTCTTCTTTTGATAGTACACAGAAAAGGGTGCTTTAAAACAAGTTAAGGAAATAAAGTTCCTAAAGAAAAACATAGTAATATAGACAAAGGCCAGTCTACTTTAGGCTAGAGTTCTTCTGTATTTAGTCAAGGTGAATATACTGCCTTGAGGAATGGGGAAGCAGATAAAACTCTCAACAGTAGGAGTGGTGTGGAGAAGCTAGTGTCCTGAGCCGTGTGTGTGCATGCGTGCGTGCGTGCGTAACAACCAAACGAAACCCGTTGCCGCTGAGTCGACTCCGACTCATAGCGACCCTACAGGACAGAGGAGAACTGCCCCACAGGGTTTCCAAGGAGCAGCTGGTGGATTTAAACTGCCGACCTTTTGGTCAGCAGCCAAACTCTTAACCACTGCACCACTAAGGCCAGGTTACGTGTACGTGTGTGTGTGTGTGTGT